CTTAGAAGAACATACTTGAAGTTGGACGACCAAAAAAAGGAAACATAGCTCCTGCTTTTGTGTGCCTTTATCAGCTTGAAGAAATACATAAATCATTCATGTAGATGGCACAGGTGAGAAAAATGATAACTTCATGTTCATACTAAAACTCAATTTAAACCTAAAGGGTATCAAGAATGATAACAAATATCGTAAAAATAAAATGGTTTGACTCTATGAATCTTTTTGTTTTCACTTAGACAATGTCCCTGCAATGAAAGAGACAAATACTTTCTGGGGAAATTCTGCGATCATAAAAAGTGTTTCACGAAAATAAAGAAGCATGTCTGATAGGTTGAATTCGGCAAAGAGGGACCAACCCTCTATGAAAAAATAAATTGAGTAGAGAGCAGTTGTTGGCTAAACCAGTCTTATATTCTTTCCTATCAAACATTCAATGGAGAAAAAATTTTTGATTTGAAAAAAGACGGGTAGCAAATTTATTTTTTATATTGAGTCTCACAGAGGAATATAACTTCACACCTTTTCCTCTTAATTTCAACTTGACTTCATTGATTCTTTACTTCTATATTTAAGCTTCATCGCTTTATATATTCCATAGAAAAGATAATTTAGCGTCCAAAAGAAAATAATATAACAATTTAGTCGAGGTCAACTCCAACTATCCATAAATTGTATTAGAAGAATGATAATTCATCCATTTAATCCTGTTGGAATAAAATTCCTATGGTTTTTATGTAGGTATAGTGAACATGTTGCATGCTAACAAGTTATTATTAATTTATTTTAAAAGTCCCAGAAAACCAGCACAAATAGGGCAAATTTTGATCAAAAATTGAAAAACTCCAAAACCAGCGTCAATTATCTACTCAGTCTAAAGTTCAGGAAGTCACAATCAGATTGCTGATAATTTACTTGCCGCCAGTATTTTGGTGATGGAGGTGGCCTCATGAGCCTTACGTGGTGCTATGATAACACCTTTGTACTTGATCAATTAGTCCCAGCATGGCAGGCAACATGCTATGCAAGATCTGAAATATTTCTTTGCTATGCTTGTAATATCAACCATGAAAATACCCACGTCTTACATATGCTTGCAATGAGACAGTCATAATAGTAACTGAAACAAGTTAAAACTTGTCTAACTAAAATACTTGGGAGTTACGCAGTGATCCGATCACTCATGATAAAGAATTCTGGTTTTCTGTTTGATTAACTAAGTAAATGCCACAAACTTAAGGAACTTGTGTGGATTCTATAAAACAAAACAAATACACAGGTAATTCCATACAAAAATAATGAATAAACACGGTAAAATATACGGAAAATCAAATTAATGATGGGTATGTACATTAGAAAATTATACATCAATTCACAGGTGATTGGCAAGTTTCTCTTGATGCTAAATAATAAGTATAAAAATAAAGAGACCCCAGAAAAAAATAAATAATAACTAAAAAATAATGAGTCACTAGAAAAACCAAAATTTCTTTTGAGAAAAGTCAAAATTCTTCAACCTCAGAGTATGTTTCAGGCTATGACATTTATAAAAGACAGAAATACTGACGACTTAAAGAAATAGGTAAAAACTGTAACCAAATTTTTCAAGGCTCAAGAAATCAAGTAAAAAATCGAGCTAATGTGCAAAGATGTTTTATAAGAAAATTTGAAAAAATATAGATTCCAAAACTACTGATTGGGCCGTGCAGTAAAAATTGAGGTTTGTTAAAAACACCCTGAGTTTTTTTTCATCTTTTAAGGGAACACTTAGTTTATAGATCAAAATACGTTTTTGTTACTATGACTAAAATGTAGATATTGACTGTTTTGATCAGTGACAATTGGAAAGAGTGTTGGTGATTTCCCTAACAAGCATTCAAATTTAGTCTAAGACTGATGAATCATCATAGAGGGATATGGCGAAATCACCAACACTCCATCCAAACGACTCATGGGTTGAACTGCAATTTGTTCATTGAAAGTGACTATTGAGAGTCAAAGAAATTTTGTCAGAATTTGAAATCAATAGAAAGAAAATAAATTATTGAATACTTGAGTGACAGGTAAAGTAATATGTATTACTGCTTGCATCTGTTTCAAGTTTTGCATAAGGAACTTGATTATAAAAATCGTTGCACCCGGGTCACAACTAATATTGCTCCAAAAAAGAGGTATAAAGGATAGATCATGTTTGAAAATGGCACATTCACATAAATTAAAGTTTTTCAACTATATGTTGCTACAGAGGGCTTTGTATGTACTTGGAAGACACATAGGAATAAAAGTATAAAATTTAAAGTTTAAAAATGTAGCAATACTTGTTTGTAAGACCTTGTCCACATGGGCCCAGAATTTTGAGTGAACTTGTTCCTGGAACTTATTTTAACTCAACTGTAACTCCTTCTGTGAAACTCCAGTTCCTTAAACTAATTTGCCCAGAAGTTCCGCCAACTGCGCTTGTGTGGACAAGGCCTAACACAACATGCAGCCTCAAACATGAAATTGACAGACTTTCTATTAAAGGGTGCTGATCTGTCATTTTTTAACAGAAGACTTTGCGGACGTCTCAATGAAAAAGAAAAAAATAAGTGTCACCTTTAAGTTATTTACACTAGAATTATTTCTGGCTTAGGATCATTAGAATTCTTTAACCTTGAGAGAATTAGTGTGGCAGCTTTGGATACATCCCAATTCGTTGATTCTAGTGCGGACAGATGAGTGGAGGAAACTATTTGATTTGATGGGAGACTAGATAGAGAGGATCCAGAGTTTAATAAACACTGAAGCTTAACAAGCTTTATTGCTCTGTGAACATTCCAATCGGCTACATTCAGAGTGGAAAGGCACTGTTCGTCTGTCACCTGTAAAAGAACAATATATCACGATGAGAAATGACGAAAGAGCTTGAAACCATAAAAGTGTTTTGTTAGAAGTAAATATTCAGTAAAGTTACGAAAATTAAGATACATAGAATATCATGTTCAGTCCCCCATCTAAAGCTAAAATTATCTAAAAGCAAAATTTTAATTTTTCAAATTTTTGGATTGATGTCAAACAATGAATTCTGTATTCGAATATTTAGAAATTTTTGAGTTTCTGAAGAGATTCATGAAATGAAACGATCACTGGCAAACAAAACTCACCTTTGAGAGGCCAAGGACTTTTCGCATGATCCTAACTTCATCACTGTCGATACCTCGAGCTTTCCCACTGGTGCGTTTTGAATTTGGCTGATCACAAGCAAACTCCAACAAATCCTCGCAAGATACATGGTCACTTGATCGTAGCATCATATCATTCAAGTCATTGCTGTCCGGAGAAAGTCCATTAGTTTCTGTTGGGAGGTTATCAAGAGCTTCCAGCTCTGAGGCTATCCGAAGATCAAAGTCATTCGACTGGTTAAGAACCTCAGCTGAGATGGGGCCATTATCTGTTTGAGGCTGTTCAAACTCTAGACCTAGGTATGCTGGTTCTGCAAAAATAATTCGCATTTCATTATAGACAGGTAGCAATACCTAAATTGTTCCTAGGTATTTGGCAATGATGGGAACTCGACATTTCCTCAAGGGTGGCAACACTCATTTTACCTTCTTATTGGCTGTTGCATACCTAACTTAATGAGCATTGTGCCTGACAAGTTTACCAATTGGAAGCAAGTTTCGCGGACAAATAGCTTGACAAGCCACTCAACAACCAACATGAAGGTGATGCCAAGGGTTCGGTAATGCAGTCGCAAAAGTCGAATTCTTCAAAAAACTAACGGAAGGGCACTATTTTTCTCTGCTCTAATAGCAGAATGACACTCAAAAGATGTTTTCAAAATATCTCTAGAAACAATAAAATGTTTCTCAGGTGTTCTTTTAAAACGAAATAAAAACTCAATATACTCCAAAAAGAACCTTTAGATGTTTGAGGAAATAAGTTATGGTGATAAAAGTGGGTTTTTATTGGGTTTTAAAGTCATTTTATGAACATTTTGAAAATGTTCAACAGTCACTAAAAGATTTCGTTTCTTTCAAAAAAAACCTGATTTGGTGTTTTTTATGAAAAAAATTTTTTTAACTATAAACTAGTCTAAAATTTTAAAAATCTCTTCGACACTGACTGAAGTAGCCCAAGAAAAAGTCTATGTGATTTCTTGATCATGAGGGTGTCATTGCTCCCTCTAACTTCTCTAGATAAAGCTGGATTGATGGGATATTTGACTAGGACATGATAAGAATAATCACCTGGAGGATTTTCATTGGTTGGGGTCACAGCTGTGGCTTTGGCAACTGTTCTCGTCACCCCTCCACCGGGAATGATAAGGGGGTGTTTTCTCTGATGTCGCGGCTTGGGTAAAGTTAGCTGCAAACTGGACCGATCTCTCGGGGGAAGAGGTATTGCATTTCCACCTGAAATTGAAAGAGAAAATAAAAGTGCTCATATTATTTTTGAAGACTCCAATTGATATGATAACAGATGTTTTAGGGAATTGTTTAAAGGAGTATTCTTGGACTAATTCCAATTTAAGGATAAGAGTACATCCCACTGAAAAATCATGTTTTTGACCATCTGTGTAGACTGGTCCATGATCAGATTGGGAATTAGGAAATAAGAAAAATTTTAGCTCAAGTTCTCTATGAGAAGAATTAGACTTTGAATATAAGGAAGGAAGTTTAAAAATTTATTAGAGATAATGACTCCCAAAAAAGGAAATTTCAGTTTTCTTAGGAGTGGTACATCATTAAAATTAGGATTATTTGAGTACAAATGGATGTTAATTATTTTTTTTTTCTCTTCTTTTACGATGTTTTTAGAAAAATTCCTCAATGGTGGGACACCTTGGATACAAAATATTTTAACGGGACACAATTACTTACGATGGTTGTGTACGAATTAACCAAAACCGATTGCAATTTCTGAGAAAGCATTTTATGTTCTGCTTTCCTTAGTTTATGATGGCCATTGAAAGAAGGATGGACGGTAGTACAGAAAATTCTGTGAAATAAATAAAATCTTTTTTGCAAATGCTTACCAGTTCCTTCATCATCATCTAGAGCTTCATTTGTTTGACCCATCAGTTCACAAGATTGTGAACATTCATTTCTACATCTAATTGACAGAAGAAAAACACAGGATTATCATTTAAAATGAGAACATTTCATATCGTTTAATTATCAGAAAATGATGCTGATCAAAGTCTGACAAATCAGAGAGACATAGGTGAGTGCCATTAATGTAAACAAGACAACCAAGAAATGACCAGTATAAAAGATATCTTCAAAAATTCAGCATAATTTGCCACAAAATACAAAGATTACAGGAGTTGAGAATTAAGTCAAAATGAGACTTTCATAAGAATAGAAAACATCCCGTAACACACTCTCTAAAAGTTGGAAGAAAATAGTACATGAGTACATTGATCTATAACAGGTGTGTAATCTGGGAGCGTTCACAAATTACATAACACTCTGGAAAATGGAGGGGGTATGAGCCTGCGTTAAAAAGGAGGATCAGTGCCAGTAACGTTACTTAACCCTCTTTACTGGTGAAAGACACAAAATTTTCAAAAAGTTTGCGTAATATTTTGCTGTTCACCAGGTGAGAATTTTTGATTTGAAAAAGTATTGGACCTTAAAGATTCCAATGATTGCAACTTTGAATTTGCCCAAATTTTTTCTCAGCCTTGGTAGGAGCCTTAAAAAAATTAACTTTATTTACTAGAATAAAAAAAGAAAAAAAAAAGAAAAAAAAAGAGAAAAAAAGGAGAAAGAAAGATTTGTGAAAATCTCTAGAAAAGAAATTTTTCTGCAAGTGCTTCAAAGTCTCTTTCTAACAACAGCATAGTTACTTAATATAATTTTTAGAATAAATATTTAACGAGTAGGTTAACAACTAGGTTAGGATTTGTAAACTTGTAAAGACTTTCATGAGAAAATAGGTGCTTTTTCACCGTGACATCTCCTTTTGAGTAAAATACACGATGTCAAAGATGGAGCAGATAGGTTAAATGGAGCAGATACCTTAATCTGAACATAAGTAAGATTCATCACTATGGTTTTTCGTTTGATAAAAAAGTTCAAAACGGTGTATATTACAATGTGATTTTGCAGAGAAGTGAGTGTGATGTTAAATGGTTCAAATTGTAAGAGACCAGGAAAACAAAACTGGAAGTACATGGAATAAATTTCAAGAAAGTTGAGGCTACAGGAAGGTGTACTGTTAACAGTGTCATGTGATAGGAGGTTAACCATCACTATGGAGATAAGCTGAAAATCTCTCACCAACTTCGATCTCTTTCTATCACTGGAATCAACTTTTTAAGTACTTATCGCAGTCCTGAAAATACCCTGACAAAACTTCTCATCCTTTTCATGAGCCTCATGACATATTACGAGATTCTTGAAATTTAGCAAAATGAACCCTTTATGGTACTGTCTGTTTTGCTATGCTCTCTTCGTAGGATGTTCTTGCAGCAATTTTTTTCGAAAATACCAAAAGATGATGGCGCGAAGCAACCAAGGTAGCAGTCCCTGGAGAACGAACCATTGGACTTTCGAAAGAAATAGGCACTACTAATTTAGGGCACTATTTGAATTGAAAGGGTGCATGGACACAAGTACGAATTTTGTTTGTATAAGTTGATGAATAAAATTATACTGAAACTAATGACACATTGACAGGTTATTTCAGTAAGAATAATTTGTAGATTCACCTAACAATTATCTTTAGCCATATGATACAGCAACTACACAACTGGCAATATTTTTCTCTCCAAATCCCACAAAATAATTTTCATGCTTTTCATCTTTTTATGGGTATAATGCTTTCAGTTTTTCTGATTTCTGCATTAACTCTTACTACAATGCAGACTTAAAAAGTTCAGAGCTGAGCAGGGCTAATATTGAAACAATTGAAAGTCTACCTGGGCACTGGTAAAATTTTAACCTTCTGTCGGATATAACTAACAAAGTTTTCATAGTGTTTTCTTTCTTCTTTTTTCTCACTTTTCCAGACTTTCTTCTGACTATTCGACTAGACTTCCACTTAATTTTTTTTCTATTGATTAAGTTGACTTTTACCCAAGTTTAAACAAACTGCCTGCTTCTGAAGATTTAGATTATGAAAAAGAACACTCAGTGATCGTTGCCATTTTCTTGAGGGCATCAGCTGAGGTTAGCGCGCAAAATTCCTTGACTTATCATGTTTTCCAGACTGCTACAAATCCTAAACTTCTTAAGAGTACTTAACCTTTACACAGTTTACTTACAAGTTGGTTGATACTCTGGGCAGATGACTCCCGATGATGGGCAAAACATGGGGCAAACTTCCGAGCGTGACAGACTTGCTACCCCGTCCCCGTGGTCTCACAACAGGTCCACACTTCAACATTTTCAAAGGGTTCACAATTTCCGTAGAAGCAGCTTGCGACTGATTTTCTTGACTCAACTCCGCCTTTTCTATCAAGCTATCATACACTGCCTTGGCTTCTGTGCTTAAACAGTTCTGATGGTTGGGAATACGGGGGAAATGGAGAGGCAAGGATTTCAAGGATGGATGAACAAACAAAAGAAAAACACGAAAATAAACAAACGAAAAAAAATAAACAAACCAAAATAAAATAAACAGCAAACAAAAATAATACAGTAGGAATAATCTACCAGAAAAAAATCTGAAAGAGAAGAATATCAAAATGCGAAAAAGTTACTTGACTTGATGGAACTATTTAGTTGGCACGAAAAACAAGAGATTGAACAAACGCAAACTCTGACATACACATACACTGATGCACGTTTATCAATTAAGTCAAGACTGGTTGAGAGCTCGATTAAGACAAATTAAATTCAAAGTATTCATATTCCACAGTAAGAATTCTTCAAAGGGAGAATGAGTCACCCCAGACAAGATCACTACAGAGCCATAGGAGTTGAGAATCAATTATAAAACTCAAGCTTTTTAATTTAGCATGTTTTACAATTAGTACACTTGTTGCAAATAAATTAAAATTTTTTCTTCCGAGCATTAAATGGCCGTTCATAAAATATGTAAAGCTCTGGGGGTGAGGGAAGGTTGAGAAGAGTTTTATGTCATTTTGATTTTACCTGTTGAAGAAATAGGGACCTACCTCACAAAAGCTTTATGCTTGGGAAAAAGAGAAGGAGGTGAAAAAATCTGAAAATTAGCGCGATGTATTTTATGAACGGCCCAGACGGCCCTTGACTTTGTCCAGGGAGGACACTTTATACCCTCATTTTCAGGGCTGAGAATTAAAATGGATGGATTGATCTTTAGAATGCTACTACAGTTGCTGTCACTCTGCAAACCGAGTGACATATTTGCTAGAATTTTTCATCTTGGCTATTGATCAATTTTATGAGGTATTGAGAATTGTGCCCAAAATGCTGGCGGCAGAATATTGGTGGAGATTGATTCTGCCCTACAAATATTCGTCTTACTGGTTTAAACGGCGAAAAAACGAAATTCTTACTTCGCTCAAGCCTACTATGACATTCGCTAAGTAGAATATTTGCGACCAAATAGTTTTTACACAACCTGAGACGGAGTAACTTGATGAAAAATTCAACAAAATAAAGCATTTGAAAAAGCTACAAGTAAGAAAACTTAATTGGCAACTAGCAAAAACAAAAGAGTAATATCATAAAACAAAAGAGGTTCATATTTTACATAAACAAAACCAAACCATTAAGTAGGAACTCAATTGAGACTTATGATTAATTCTAGGTGAAAAGTAAAAAAGGAAACAAAACAGAAATCAAAAAATTAAGGAGTCAATTTTGAAATTTGAAGGAAAGCAAGATGAAGGGAGGGATTGGTGAAGAAAAGAGGAAAGAAGAGAATAACTATATTAAAGTCATTTGAAAAATTGATACAATTGCACAAGACAAAAAGTCCAATTTAAAGTTTGTTGTAAAATTGACTACTTTTCTATCGGTGATTTAGACATGCAGGACTTGAGAGAGTTGAGATGCTGGAATATTCACGGGTCTTTTTAATCTAATGTTAAATTATGGAAATACTCTAATAATGGACGAGTGGGAAACAGTGGACGTTTCTGATACAGGAAACTTTTCTCCTTAAAGTTCTATGCAAGACTAGACGGGAAGAATTGATACTAAAATATTTTTTTTAAAAATGTGCTATTAGAAAAAAACCGAGAAGAAATTAATACAAAAATTTATTTAAAAAAATGTGGAGTGAAGAATCTCCAATTGGCTTACTTTCATAAGAAAAATCAAACATATAAAAAAGTTTTCCTATTGCTTGATCATTGAGCTGATTTTTGGAAGGAACACAAGCTTTGACAATGACTAGAAAAATTGCAGAGTTTATTCACAGGTAGCAGTTCACAAGGCAGCCTTAAAAAATTCATCAGACACATGCTTTGTTATCTGGAAATGCACAGATGCAAGCTCACAGTAGAAAAGATTGCAATTTCCCATCTCAGCGAAAAATTGAAAACAAAATTGATTAAAAAGTAGATTGATATTACAAATATATAAAATTACATTTTTCGAAAATATTCTATTTGTACTTGAAATTAGAAGTCACAACAGAGCAAAAAGTAAATTCAAACTAAAGTTGAGCTGTGGTATGTGCAGAAAAATAAGATGCCGATGGGTATTCATCTTAAAAAATCCTTACAGCATTGCATACTTGAACATGCAAGTTGTGTAAGGAGATGAATAATAATCAACTATCACCCATCTTACCAACTCAATCATCTTAAGTTTGACGATTTGTAAATTATAAAAGTAGGTAAAAAGATTTCAGGCAAGGCACTGAGAGTAGCTCAGTTTCAAAAAAAACTCACTGACTGCAAGCTATGAATACAAAATAGCAAAGTCCTTTGCTTATAAAAACCTGATCATTGTAGATATCATATTCCATTTCGATTAACAAAGAGGGCTTGAATATTATCTGACTGTAAATTTTGATGCAGTTTTGTGATTCATGTTGAGTTGCAGGAGAGAAACAAGATGAATTTTTTAACCAGAGATTCCATGTTTTAAAAATACTGACAACATAATACAATTCAGCTGTTTTAGTACCCTGTTCTAATTTCACCTGAGTTACTTTATATATTTCCTTAAAAACGAGGCTTATAGGTTTAAAACTAAGAGACACTGGCCAAAGCTACCTAAAACTGAAAAATTAGCGTGGCCATGATATCAGTTCCATGAAAATTTAAAATGACTTCTAAAAATTGGGCTTACTAGCCGAGAGACTTTTAAAATTATTGGGTGAAGCTGGAACACTGCCTCACATTTTACACTAATTTGTAAATAGGGCCAGATCACATATTAGGAAGCTATTTTGATCTTCTCTTGTTTGCACAATACATACTCTAAAATATTTTCAAATGATACGTTGATTTCAAGTTCTGAGATTGCATTTTTTTCTTCAACGACTGAAGAAATATGTTATTATAATCAAACTAAAATGACGGGCAGACATTACTTTGACTTTTTACTTCATTAAATGCTTTGGAAAATCAATTGCTTCCTACTATGATGAATATTTTTAACTTTATAATAATACTTCAAAATTGTAGAAAAAAGCAATCATATAAAAGTGCAAAACAGTCTTAAAATTTAAGCTAAAAATTAGCTTTTTCAAAAAACAACTCTAGTACCTTAACGCAATGAGTCGGCATGGCTTCTGCAGTTAGAGGGCCAAGAGATCGATGGGAAAATTATTTTAACTGCTCCGACTACCTTTGCTGTTTAGGTTACTGCATGGATTAAAGGAAAGCTAAAAAAAGTGGTTTCATACAAACCGGAGGGCTACGTGAGAACTTAGCAAGACACAGAATATAAAAGTCTGGTGTTTAGAGATAACGTGATAACGTTTTAAGATAACGTGTCTCAAAAATTTGCAGTTGACTGAGCTTGAACTAATCAATATAACAGTCGTAATAAAATAAAACACAAACTCTGAAATTTTACAGATGTTTCCATTGGATTTTTTTTCTCTAAAGATCTAGAGTCTAGGTCACAATTAAAGAGACTTCAGTGACCATGACTGTATAGTTGCGTGCCTGGTGTTCGAAACTTTTTACCTCCCTAATCTGTCCATATCCTGAATCTTCAGGCAACACTTTAATTTTCAAAGTTTTAGAATTTATCTGATGGCTTAGGGCAATTAAAAGAATATGTCGAGAACTACGCTGAGTTAGTGTGAGATGGCAGGTACGATTTTTTCAAACTAGCTGTGGCAAAAAAAAAACAGAAACTTTAAACGAGGAAACAAACTAGATAGAAAAGCTACGGCAAGTGATTGGTTTTACAATGAATGCTAAGTTCTTTGACGAGGAGATCCGAGTTGCAAGAATAGTTGCTTAACTCTTTACTCAATGAGAGGGTGGAAGATGATGAGGAAGAACTAGACGAGTTCCAAGCGGCAGAATCATTGACTGATGCTATGGAGTGAAAACGGTTGAAAGATGAAAATGAGTTTGAGTTTCCACATGCAGTTTCGTACTCAGATTCCGAGGATGTTGAATCGTCAGTGGGCTCTTGCTCAAGGAAGGTTTTAAACTCATTGGAAAATTGGACGGGCATTGAATTGCTCTTCTCGGTATTGGACGGCATTAGACAGGGTGAGTTAGGTGATGATATTGACAGGTTGGAAAACTTCACACGATTCTTGTACTTTAAAAGTTTTGCTGAGTTTTGACGGAAGAACTTGAGGATATTACTCTTATCCCGTTTTGATCTATCACTATGTTCGGAATCTGCATTGTCGCAAAGACTTGAAGTATCTGAAAATAGCTGGGCAGGTATTTCTGCGTTCGCTCTGGTTTCGCAGTCAGTTGTTAATGTCAAATTGCTGTAAGAGGAAGAATCAGAGGATGAAGATAAAAGAGACTCAGCCGACAAAGTTTTATCGTCAACGCTTAGAGCACTGTATGAGATAGATAGGTTGTTTGAAGATAGATTAACAAGAGTTTCTGTTGAGACGAACTCCATTTTTGAAGTGCTCAATGCATGGACATCTTCAACACTAGGTAGTGAATCGTCTTCACAATCCTTCATGCCAGGTTTCACTGAGATCTTTACATCGTAAATGCTGTTCAGTGATTCAGCGCAAAGTAATTTATCATAATTCATCTGCATGAACTCCTGTTCTTGATTTTTTTGCATTTGATCACATGGATGTGCACCGTTTTCTGCATATTTTCCAAAAGAGGCAAATGTTAAAGCAGTGTTGTCATCTCTAGAGTGCGCACTTGAGGCCAGGTCAATGATGTCAACCGAAGAACAGACTGAGCTCGCACTATCTGCATAGTATATTTCTTCGTTTTTTACTTCATCCAAGAGCAAAGTGGGGGGACGACGAGTGAGCAGGTCATGAGATCGGGCGAAACAAAAATCTGCGGATGCTCGATCCCAGAGAGGAAGTTTGAATGGTGCTGAATTTTTTAGAGATTCTAAACTTGTAAATGATGATGGGGACTTTAAACTTGAGCAAAGGGACTGATGTGCAAGCGTAAAGCAAAAAGCAATAGGAATTACGTATTAAATGAATGATGATTCAGAGATGCAGAATTAAACATGCATTAAAAAAAGGATTCATGGAGGAGGCAATTTCAGAAAGGCGATAGTAACATAGTTGAGTGGTAACAGTGAAAGTAACAGCCAAAAATTCCCACAAAATTACATAAAAGCAATGCATAAAAACGTTCAAACAGCAATTAACAAAAACAGATTAGGATTTATGGTTAGGAGGTAATTGGGATGCATGGGTTAGTGGATAAGAAAAGGAAGCAGAGAGAAAATTACATTTTTAAATTAAAAAAGATGTCAAGAAATGTTAAAAATTAAGAAGAGATTTTCATGTTTGAGTCAGAACAGAGATTCAGATGGAAACTAGACATATTTTAGACACAATGTTAAACAAACACTGATGATTTTATCTCAAAATATTCGTCAAGCCATGGCTGCCAAACCAATTTGAACAATTCAGCTTTGGATAGAACGGCAAATGCTGTGGGTGATTTTGAAAAATCTTTAAGCCCGGAGAGCATCATTTCTATAAGTACATATAGTGCACATTCCACTTGACGGGAAAGATTTACAGAAAATACGACTGTTTCTCGAGTTTAACCATTCTCAAAAATGGAACATGATCTACTTTAACAGGAGTCTCCCCTTTCCTTCCTGCAAAATCATCTGGCTCAAGATTTAAGAAATATATTGTAAAGGCAGTGGTGAAAATTCAAAAACTTGCATTTTTAAGACCAGCCTAGCTCATATCTTTTTGGAAAATTACTTCTATTCCGTTTGAGAAAAGGAACTTAACCACTTTCTCTGTTCTGGTGTTAATGTTCTTCTTTCATAAAATAATCTACTTGGACATTAGTGGATCAAGCTGAAAAAAAGCTAATTTTAAGGCATGAAACGTAAATCCAATGCATGAATGTTAACACCACTTTCTATAAAAATGGATGCTTAAAGAAAAAAAAATTAAAAAATAACACATGTAAAAGTGGAAAAACTTATTAGTAATATTGAACAATAATATGTAATTACATACACATATCTGGTATTCTAACACCAAAATGTAGGAGAAAAGACTAAAAAAGGACATGCATTAAAATCGAAACACTTTCGTCGACCACTCTCCTGTTCTCAATTTGGAAAAATACATACGAAGTATAAAAAGTCGTTAAAAATCTTGCAAGACAAAAGGATAGAGCATTCATTGAAGTTGCTTTTCTCTGATCCTTAGATATGCAAAATTTTGACAGATTTTTACGATTTATAATCCTTGTATCTATGCCTATTGAGAATAATCAAGTGGTAACCAAAATATTTTAATAGGCAAAAAGGGTCTTGACTCCAGCATTTTGACTTTATTGAAATTTAATATTGCCATCTAAAACTTTAAGGCTAAGTCTGCTGAGTTTTCTCTTGACCATGATCTCTTGAACTGATTGGTACAAGTATCACTCCTGATTAACAAAGTTTGCGTAGTATTGACTAAACTTAAAAGGTGAGCATAATTTTTCTCTAGTTGTTAGTGTCTCTAAATAGCAATATGTTCATTCATGAAATTTGATTCTTTCTTTGAAATGTCACTGTTTTCAATTTGAAACTTTGGTGCTTATACTATACAGGCAAATACCGAGATATTTCTAGACTTTTAAAGAGATAAGCTTAAGAGCTCTTAAGAGGTGAGACAAAGTTTAATAGATCATGAGTTCCTCAAAATACGTAAACAAATCCCACTTTATTATTCTTCTTTGTTCGCTCACACAAGCATCTGCCACAATATTTTAGAGACAACATAGTGTGTACGCATTTCCTTGAAAGTCAATGGATTATTAAAATAGGTACAAATTTTAAGTGTTCTAATCCATCTACCATCTTATCTCTGTGAAATTTCATATAGAACACGAATCACGAAACGAAAATTACCAAAATTAAGTCCTGACCAAGAAATTGTTGTTTTTATTCGGAAGTGGTTGAAACAAATTTAAATTTCCCCCTCCCAAGAAAAACATCAAACCATGTACTTCGACAGTTCTGTCAGATTTCTTCATCGAGCAGTGTTCTCTCCCCACCTCCCGTATTTCGCACCATGGACAATGTAAAACGGCTGAGTCAAAATGCAATTGATGTTGCCATATTTTCACACCAAAGAGACTATTATGATAACTTTTAGTAGGCGATGTGACTCAAGTAAATTATGGTTTTTTTTATGGGCGGGAGGTTTGAATTAATGGATCAAAAAAACATCCTTATCTTGGTTAGGAGTAACTTTCAATAATTTTAGTTACACAAATCATGTTCTATGTGAAATTTTGATGAGAAAACATTAATAATAATGCTTAAATTCGCATCTTGTCTAGTGATACATTGTTAAGAAAGAAAGAAGCATAAAGCAAGAAATAGTGAAAAATAGAGACCAGAAGAGGTAAAAATCATAACAAGCTTAAAATAAGCACATTGATCTGGAAGGCAAAAGGCAACAGAGTCAAAACGTCAAGTTCCTTCCTAAAATGAATATTGACAAATTACATATCACCCTTTGAATTGTGCAGTGGATCACAGCAGTCAACATTTTGGACAGTTAGATCGATTTTTATCTTGTTAGACTAATGAGTCTAACATTAGTCATTAGTTCATTAGTCGCCCATTAATGAATGGGCGACTAATGAACTTTGCGCAGGTATCTGAGCACACATTATTTAAGGACAAAAATGGAGGAAACTATACTGTGCACTACTGGATTTCCATGAGCTCATCCACTGTCATGGAGCGATACCTCTGTTATATTTGAGCATATAAGCTCGGCTCTTGGACAGATTTGATTACTTCAGCTATTCTTTGAAATATACCCAGATTGAGGAAGCCACAGTTCTAAGACTGGCAAGCCTGAACCATTTACTATCTTTCTTTATTTCAATTTTTGTTTCAACCCTAATTTCTGAACATCAATGACATGGTAAATGAAATGGTACCTGAATGTCAGGAATTGAGGCTGCTTCATCAGTGAAAGTATGACCCTCAGTTCTCTGTGAGTGCTTTGATAGGGCACCGCTGACTAAGGGTGTTGGAAAACGAAAGGAAAATTTTCTTTTGTTGGGCGAGGCTGGTGTGCGAGGAGAGTCTGGGCCATGTTGAGAGGTGCCATTATCGAGGTCATTCATCGAGCAAGCTGCAATTTCGTTAGCTAAAGCAATAGCCGAATCAAGAGCCTTTTCATCCGCTGCTGAAATTGGTTTCACCTATAGTAAAAAGGCAATAATCAGTGTTGCTTTTACACTAAGAAACAAATGTTTACAATTTAGGTCCTACTTTTTTCAGTTCACTAAATTTATTAGTATCTTTCAGCCCTTGCTTCCGATGATACGGAATAATATAGATTCTTCAGCAGACCAGGCCGGCAAAAAAAGTTTTCAATAGAGAAATTAATGGACCGAAAAATATTACCTGGTCATGAACAAAAAATATTGGCTTAATTTGCTCAATCAGTATTGATGAATGAATTCATAAACATTTTAGTGGCCAACAGCATCAATTGAAGCCAAAGTTATGATGGCAGGAAGTTTCAAAATTCTTTGGCTACCTAATGTTTCGCAGTTGAATAAAACCATGATAATACAAAGTACATACTGTTGCTTGCTTTTTTTTGCTTTTTGTCAGAGATGCAGCAATTTCGCGTAACTCATTGCGCTTATTTGTATCCACGTCTAGAGGAGAGGGAGGTGGAGATCCTATGTCATTGGTCCCAATATTCCGGAACATGGCATTCATTTCATCCAGCAAACTAGGTCCAAAGTCAAAAGTTTTCTGTAATACAAGTGATAAAAAATAATTATTTTTAAATAAATAAGTATGAATTTCAAAAGAACAATATTGTTTAAGAGGGCAGATAAATACTGTCCAAGAGTATTGTCAGAGAGTGTTTCTCATGATTTATTCGAGTTTAAGGACTTTCCTGACCAGAGAGCAAGCTAGTATCACACTGCAATTTAAGTATGTTTTCTAACAGTATTAAAGTGAACAAAAAATCAATGTAAAAGTCACACAGTTTCCCTCTTGTACTCAGGTTAAAAAATGACATTCTATTGGCGAAAACTATGAAAAACATACAATTATCGGCTTGCAGACTCATTTTCATGGCAGTATATCTCACTGCAGAGATTCAATAACAAGCTAAATTGAATTACTTTCAGTAAATATGGACCGTCTACCATCAAAAACAGCTTGAGTTACAGAAGTGTAAGGTAAATACGAATTTAGCTCTCAAGCAGGGTCGATTTTGGCCCTTAATGGCACCTTTTTTCCTTCAGTTAATATAGAATGACAGGAACTTGTCAGTGTAAGGTCTTGGGACTAGCACGGTGGTGAATAAATTACAGGGGCATACTTTACTAAATACTTTACTAAATCATTGAGAAATACTAGAATAGATTAATTTCAAAATCATATGAACACTCACTTCAAATCGCGGACTCTCAGCAACACATTCTTCATCACTGATCTCATGATATTCGTGATCAGTTAAGCATTTACTGTTGATGGCGCCTGCACAGACATTTTTCACATTTTCACAATCCAGCCATTTAGAATCTGGAATATAGAGGTGTATTCATGATAATTCATTCCAAAGATATTTTTCAGCAAGAGTGGGTGGTACGTTTTTACCATGAAATAAAAAGAGAGGCATCACTCGCAAAAAGTTTTTAAGAAGAGTTTTTACAAGAGTAACAACTTTCAATTCCGTGATAGACTATGTTTATCACAGAATAGGTCACGGTCAATACAGACCTGTCTATTTCAATTCAGGTGTATGCAATGGACAAAGGAAGTAATTAATTGACTAACTAGCGGCAACCGACCAAAGACCCTAAAACTGATCCATCAATATCCTCCTTAGTCAAAAGCTACCACCCTTTTCAGCCAAGAGGGTTAATCCATGTTCCCTTTCTTCTTCGTTCATTGCTTTGTCTGTCAGTTTCAATAGTCAGTCCACTAGTGCCTCTTTCATGACATGATTTTAGCTTCCTTCAAAGCCAGTCTGACTTTTTTCCTAGATATTTATTGTCATGGGTTTGTTTACAGTTTATCCATTAAGAAAATGATGGAAAATTGTTAGAGAATAATAAGTAAAGGTTGACTTACTTGTTTCAAAGAGCCGAGAAGCAAGTTAAAAGAAGAAGATGTAATTAATGAAGTGCAATATGATGAGAGGATAGTTATAAGGTACAAAGAAAATCTAGTTTTTCATTTATAAACGTAAATTTAAATTTATATCACAGGGAATTTTGGACAGTAACCCAAGATAAAAGACTGAATTTATTTTATTGCGATCAGAAAAGAGCTTGGTTTTATGAATGAATTGAACTGCTTGAACAGAAAGCAGCCTTGATGCATTTCATGTTACAAAGTTTTAAATTTCCTATTATAATTTAATTTTCTCACAAATAAAAAGGAAAGCTAATATGTACTCTGAATCTGTGATTTTAACCTCACTTATCCAGAACATACTTACACAATTCTTTAGCATTAATTTTGCAATTTACTGGGGGGATTTGAGGAAATTTGGCGACCTTGAATTCTGATAGAGTGATTTATGTTAAATGCATCCATACAAGCCATTCTTAGGTCTTCCTCTCATTAAGTGGATGATGGCTACTTTACAATGTTTAGAATGTTTACAATGTTTGAACATGTTTAGCCACAATTTCCTTTTCATTGACTTTAAGAGACTTACTCAAAATGAAAGAGCAATGTGTTCATCATGTTTAGATGGCTGCAGATGTTATTATAATGAGTCTGGAGGGTGACAGAAAAAAAAACAGCAGAAAATATGCATGAAAATATGAAAAATAGACATACCATTCGCAGGAATTTTTCGAGGGTCAGTGGTTAGAAGTGGAGCTCTGTCAGAGGTTGTTTTAATAGAGCTAGTGTCTGATTCAGCTGTGTTATCTTCATGTTTATATGGCATGACAACTTGGTGAGGAATGTGATTATACTGGAAAAAAAAATACACAGAAATATGGAATTGAGCTTTTATACAGCTACACTCAGGCGAATAACTTTTAGTCGCAAAAGAAGAAACAAGCCCCTCAGAAGAGCCTATTCTCTTCATTACAGTAAGTGAATCTTATTAAAGCTGTTGGCAGTTATGCTATGAATTGTAGACCTCCATTATTATGTTACCGACAGTTAAATATTTGGTTTAGTACAGATTTTACTTAAGCCACCATCATACGGCAAACTTTTACGTTTGCACTATTTTTCTACAACTTTTAAAAGTCTTTCATTCAATGGAAGGAAAGGTAGGTTGGCTATCAAAATTTAGCAAAGCTTCCTACGTTTTTCAAACCTCTGCACAAATTTGAGGTCTTTCCACATTTTCCCACATTTGGGGGAGATTTTTGGTACATTTTCCTGTGCATGGAAAATGTCCTAAATCTTCTTTAAAACTATACCTAGTTCTAAAAACACAGAAACAACTTCAGATATAAATGAATTTTACTGAGATTGAATTTTTGGACAAGAAAAAAAAACAAAGGTTGGAGAACTCCATGAATTTCCATAGAATTTCAAGGGAAACTACTTACTTTTGTTGATCCTCCAAGAAAAGAGATATCTCCAAAATAAGCTCCATCTAAACCAATGTGACTTGTATGTTTGACATCACCCTGTGGGCACGAAATCATATCTGGACGTAGCCGACTTCGACGCGAAGAATACGTATTCTTACCATCGCCGCGCATAAATTCTCCACCTTTATTGGAAGGAAGATTCGCTCCTAAGTATGTGACAGTATGGGCAGGGTTGAAGAAACCACTTTTACCATTGTTTAGAACACCTGCAGAACAATTTCAAAATTAAAATGACGATACAGAGAACGATTAAATCTTGATGATTTTGTTTCTGCAACAAAGCCTCTATTTTCTGAGTCAAGGAAAATTCTAAGTGAGAAAGAGACCAAAACGATCTAGTCAGTGCACACTGCATAAATGTATAATCAATAAATTAATGCATATTTGCCAATGACAGGATGACAAGTCTCCATGTCAAGTCACTTAACCACTCAAAAGCTATTTATGATAAAACTATGTCTTGGTTAATATGCTAAAAATTGTTTACTTTTACCTCATTTATTTAAGAGTTTGTTGGTAGGTAAAGATGTTTAAAAGAAATTTTCAGAAAATACTCCTAAAGGGGCAGAGAAAAATTAGACAAATCTTTATGCATCAACAATAATCAGTCATCAAAATGCCAAAAGAAGTCTGTATAGTAGCAAACTGAGTTACGTCATTTGATAGATCACCACAAGGGTCAGATTCAGTGTTCGAAACTCACAGGCGCCAACGTGCCTAAAAAATCGGCCATGGCGCCTAAAAAATGAAGGCTCTGCTCCAACGTGGCCCCTAAAAATTGCTCCCTACAAATCTGAATTTTCATATTAGGTGATTATTCTAAATTTTCATCACTATAAGTGAAGGCTTTTTCTGTTCTTCACGATTTCATCTTTAGTGCTTCTGTCTTCCCCAAGTTACAACTACTTACTAGTTCTGTTACAAAAACATCTTGCGTCTAACTTTTCACTAGATGCCCCGTGATATATAGACAAAAGGTCAATTTGGCCCCTAAAAAATCTTAATTGGCGCCTAAAAATCGGGCTTGATGCGCCAAATGGCTCGTAAAACTCAAAGGTGAGTTTCGAACACTGGTCGGATTGTCCTTCAGCCTACTCTGGAACCAATGATCAATGTACAAGCCTACGCTGATTCCATATATAAGTAAAAACAGAAATAGAATATGAAACTCTTGGGTAAAGAAAAAGGAACCTTACCTTTCCAGCTATTGCTGCCTGAGCCAGTTAGACCTTTGTCCAGAACAGTAATAACATCGCCTTGCCTGTAAGATAACTGGTCCCTCTTCATTTTATCATCTATCGAATCCTGTACTGCTTGGACTTGTTCAGGCTTACAATCTGGCAAAATGTTCATGAGGTCGACAAAGCGTGGGCGTTTGTTAGGATCGTGTTGCCAGCATTTTAGCATAACACTGTAATACTCTTTGGGACAGCACTCTGGTTGCTCCAGTCGCTGTAGATTAGGCTCGTCTATTGCTTCTAATATCTGATGACCGGTAAGGGCTGCCCATGGCTGAAAGCCGTAGCTGAACATTTCCCACAATGTAACACCAAATGCCCATACATCTGAAGCAGATGTGAATCGCAGATAACTAATACACTCCGGAGCACACCAGGCAATTGGCAGTTTTAAATTGACATTAAAGTTGGTTTGGTAGTAGTCCTTCCCAACTCCAAGTGCTCGTGACAATCCAAAGTCAGAGATTTTCACCTTCAAAATAATGAAAGCAAAGTTAATGAAAATAATAACTCCAAGAGTTCAGTAAAATTTTTGGTATTTTCGTGCAGGCAAACATGGATAATTTAATGATAAGAGTGTTTCCAACAATGGCAACAGTAAATGTTATATTCTCATGTGTTTTAAACCAAATCAGTGTGCATACTTCGCAATTGATAATACCTGTTTCTATGAAGAAAACCACTATAGACTCTAATCTGCGGTAGTCTATCAGGTTCACAAGCAAAGCCTCATGCTAGCCTGTGATGTTTTTTGACCAGGAAAGAGTTAGAAAATGATAGAAGCAAATTTTACAAAATGGAACAATCCTACCATTCAAATATAGTTTTAATTACATTTGTTTTTTTTAAAAATTGAGTAATCAGTGTTACAAAAGTGCAGTTTCTATGATGTTCTTTTGGTCTGTTAATATGATACTGATGCAATTTCAACCAAAGTAATCAATTAGTTCTCTTTTAATTAGATAAAAAATGATACAGACATTTTGACAATGACAAGGAATAGGAACTTCTTGTGATTCGAGTTGAAACCCATCACTCATTCCTTGGGACTTTAAAATTTACCTGGTAGCAGAGCTACCTTATAGACCTGGGCTTATAATTTGAAGAGAGAAATTTAGTGAATTTTCTGTTCCTTTCTTGAAATCAGTCACTTTACTTGCATTGCCATGAACTCTATCCCTTTTGTGAAAATCTTTTTCTATAACTGTTTATATTTCACAGCTGACAGTTCTTCAAACATGATTCTTTAGTCTTTCTCATTAGCAGCTTGAGAAAACCAGGACTTGTCCTATATTTGGAGAAGAAGTCTGGTAATACTGGTGTGAGTACAACATTCTTATTACATAAATGTAGTATCACTGAAAGGAAAAGGAGGATTCTTTGAGCAGGTTTTAATTGAAATGAACAAATGGTTTGTTTCACTTGACAGTAAAATCTACTATTTACCTTGTTCTTTGAGAAGACTAGAATGTTGCGAGCAGCAAGGTCTCGGTGGATTAACCTCTTCATCTCAAGGTACTGCATCCCGCTGCAGATTTGAACGGCAAAATTACACAAAGATATCACAGGAAAACTGGCACGTAGAGAGGGCTCCTTCAGGCACTCAAGGAGGGAGCGGAGTGGTGCAAGTTCAGTCACCAGCATGAGAGCATTGGTGTCCAAAACAACACCATATAAGCGGACGATATGTTCATCATCAATGCCGTGCATTATGGCTGCTTCTTTGAGAAACTCGATCGGATTGTTTTGCATGCGCTCACGGCTTAAGCACTTGATGGCCACTTGAATCCTTTCTCCATCATTTGTCCAAACACCTTGCTGAACAACACCAAATTCTCCTGTCCCTAATTCCTTGTTTACTAATATATTGTCTGCAGGAATGATGTGTTTGTTCGGAACTTTGATTGGTGGTTTCCCATCGAGAGTCCCTTCTTCAGGCAGCATCCCAACCATTGACTCCCATTCTTCTTCCTTTTTAGGAAGAATCATCTGAGAGAAAAAAAGAAAAAAATTTACATATGAACTATGAAAATTTTGAAACTACTGGTTACCTTCAGTTCTGTTCTAAACAAGTCCTGATATTTATTATTGCACCACTAGACATTGCTTTCTTGGGTGATGAATGAGAGAGTGTCTATCATTCATTATTGACACAGTGCTGTACTATTTTGAGGACTTTCTTTAGGAAAAACACTACACCCTTAATTGATTTGTCTAATTTGAGGAGGGTAAGTCGGTGCACAAATATGAAGGCTAGTCTTTGGGACTTGCTTTGAAATTAACTCATAGGAATATAGTACCCTATTTTCTTATGATAAAGAAACTAACAAAACAGTTGATAAATTTCTGCTAAATAACTCGGATCATTTTTTTCAACAGTCAAGTTCAACCAACTCAATTTTTGGTTATTCACTTTTTAATAAATTTTTGAGTAACTTACCCTGTAAGTAATGACAATAATTAAAAAAGCCAATGATAAAACCCGACAAGAGTCTCAAAGATCTTAACCGTTTCAATTGATAAATGGTTATTGCACTAATTCACTAAGCCAAAAAAAGTGAAGCTAAATTTACAACTTTGATCACAGTCTAAATATAAAATTTTTAAAATCACTCTTACCTTTTTTATTTTGGAGAGATAATTCTGAGGGAAGTGCTTCTGAAAAAACTTTTTTAACCTTCTGATTTCAGGCTTTGCCATTCCAATGGAATGCAAATCTTCATCAGTAACATACTTGAGCTGAGATACATTTTGAACCTGCACAAAATATGTTAGACATGAGTAAATTTTTGTAATATGTAGCATGAATTGTTTCAGTCCTTAAAAAGTTATGCCAACATAATATAGGCATTTGCTGCCCTCATTAGGTAGTTGAACAAGTAATTATTTCAACTCAGTACCATGGACACTCTAAAGAACTTATAAAGCGAGCTTGCAAAACAAAATTGGAATTTTTCCTGTTTCCTTTAAAAAATATGTGAGATCATGGGATGGATTTTACAGAAATCTTGCCAGACAATGTGGCTATACAAATTATTTTCGTGGCACATATCGACGGTGTAAGTCGGCAATCACATAACTCGGTTTGCGACGTCGCAGACTTCCTGTCATACTTTATTTTTTAAATGGAAAACTACTCAACGGCAATCCTTTAAAACTGCCGTGATTTTTCTTCTACGCGCGGAGAAAATTTTGCAAAAACTTCAAGGAATGATGTCAATTTGTTCTCCTTTAAAAAAATAACATAGAGGCGGAGATTTTCAGACATCGCAAACGAGTTATGTGATTGCTAACTTACACCGTTGATATACATTTGTTGCTACTGTTTTCTTGCAATTTTCGATGAAATCCTTAGTGTATTAGAACTTTGGAAGATTTTGATTACATATGGTAGGCTTCTGAAATATTTTAATTTTAAGAGGTGATTTTCCTGAATATTCTGTGCAAGGTTAAGTAGGTGAATTTTGATTGTAGTAAAAGGATGGCCAAGTTACAGAATCTTAGCAACACTAAATAGGCATATACCTTTGTTGCGAACAGTGCTACATTTACGTTTGACACTTTCATGAACTCGACACTTTACTTGAGAGTTCAAAGAGCAATGGAAAACTGCCCTTGAGATCACAACAAAATCTCAACAGCTGCTTGCATCTGCTAATAGTTTAATATGCACAAATTTACCTTCAAATCATTCTTGATACCAGCGTAATACTGCTGCAATTCTGCCTCGATGAGAAATTCATACAATCCAGGTCGTTTGGACGTCATACTATTGGACCGTTCCATCGGGCTAAAAAATAAAGACAATTGAATAAACCATAAAAGGAGTAAAAAAAGATGAGAACTGGCTCAGATACAAGCACATATCTGTGCGGTTACTCCAAAAAATATATAATACCTAAACATAAAAGGTGTGAAATCAAATATCTACCCTGAGGAGCGATGGCTCAAGGTATTCTTTGCCGTAGTTTGATCGTGATTAGATCTTCAAAAAGCTAAAAAAAATACGGGACCTTGTTCAACAAATCTGCTCCTCTATCAATTGAATCTTCCAAGAATACCCTGCTTGACTGACAACACTTGTGGTTGCAGCTGATAAAATTTTAAGTTTATTACAACTCAGAGCCATGAATGGGAACTTCGCTAAGAAGTTGGAAGCATAAAACAAAAGTCCTGAATATTTACGATTTATTTAAACCTGTTAGAGTACAAGGTAGCAAGATAAAAGCTAACAGAGAAAAACCCTCCTGATAAGCAAAGTTAATTGAACTTAACCTACAAGTTCTGTTTACATACGTTATTGAATACAGAGTTATTTTTGCAGCTTGCGGTCACATATTTAAGAGCAGACTCCACAAAAATTGAGAAATCAGGAAATTCAAGTAAATTTCTAATGATATTTACTTGAAAACAAAATTGAATACTCACGTCCTAACTTTTATCATAGACAGTGGGTTAGGATGGGAGATACATTGATTATGGCTTCTTCAGAGAGATTACCTCCTATCTGTAGAATGATACTGAATACTACAAGTTTTCATTCTACCGACAAATTTACGGCTTTTTCCAGCTGCGACATTAGAGGTTCATTAAAAAGAAAATAAGTGATCATTTGACACGATTACACAGAGTGTACAATCACACTTTTGATTGAATACCTCGAGCAGAATATTCTGATCTAGAATATTGAGGAAGTTTCGATGACTTCTGACTACATTTTAGCTAGATTTTTCTTCAAAAATTAGCGCTACATAATAGTTAGTGCGTGCAGTCGTACAAAGAATACCTGAGTTGACAAAACAAATGGTTGATAGAGAATAGACCCACCTAAATTGGGGAGTTAAGAGTCTTGAGGAAAAAACTCAAAGGCCCACGAAAAGATCACATTTTTCAATTTGACTTCAGACACAGTACTAGAAAAAGGGTAAATTGAAAGGATTGAGTACAAAATAAGCGATTTTGTAAAAACACAGCATTCGTAAATTGAAAACACTTGCACACGGCGAAATTCAAGAATTTTTTGGTTAGGCTATTATTGACGTATGACGTATGATAGTAATGCCCTGTTGCCGCTTTGTCAAAAAATGATGATTCTCATCAATTTAGTAATTTAAACAGCACAGCGCAGCCGGCGCGGTGCTTAAAATAAATTATAATATTTAAACCTCGTTTTTTAAACGTAGAGAGTGTGTTGAGAAACGAGAAAATTTACAAAATCAGAATATGTAAAGTGAATAAAATATGAGCCTACGTCACTTACGTGAACCTTGAAAACCACGGCGCAGCGCGGCGGTCAGCATGTAACACATATTAGCGCCTACAAGACTGCATGAATACTTCACGCATTGCGCCAAAAGACAGTGCGGTCGCTGCGGTCAGCAGCGGGCGGCGTGAAATACATAGCGCCTACAAGACTGCATGAATACTTCACGCATTGCGTCAAACACAGTGCGGTCAGCGCGGCCCGGCGCGGCGGAGGAAGTTAAAATAATTAAAACCACATTTCAGTTTATTCTTTCATAATTTGTTTCGTTCATTTCATTTTAATGGAAGGCCTCGTCTTCACAGAGATAGGTTTACATAGCGTTACACGGAGAACAGGGCTCACGTGAAAATAAAGATTCGCCCTTATGTCAGAGGGGCGACGATTTATGGGTATTATTTTTAGGTATCTACTTACTTTGCATGTTTACTTGGCAACGTCTTCGCCTGTGATGAAGATGGCATTCTGCGGATTGTTCCATGTTTTCATTTCGCGAGAGCCTTCACCTCTGGGTCGACTCGGTGGCATAGTCCCATGCTAAGGCGAGGAATACTCTCAAACGAGGACGATTGTTTACACTAAAAATGAGTTGCTAGCTTGCTGATCGAAGCGCGCTGATGGTCGTACGTGCTTTCGCCGGGAGAAAAAATTGGCAGGCACCACGAAAAAACAATTCTAACAAGGCAGCCACTGCCGTATTTAAAATGCGTTGTAGAACTTTTCTAGGTTTTGGTGAGCAACATTGAAAAGTTTTTTGTGTGGGGGAGAGGGGGGGGGGTGAATGGGCATCTCACCGAAGGGCTGAG